CTGGATCAGCAGCTGGTCTGTCGCTCACATGGGTTCGTCTGTCACGCAGCCCTCTCTATGGGTAGAGAATGGCAGGAGTCTTGTTGGGCTTGGGAGAAGGCTCATGGCGAACGGGGGCGGTGGCGGCTCAGTGCTGCTGCTGCTTCTGTCATCGGAGAGCCGGGAGCTGGCTGTCGGCCCATCATCAGACCCGTCAGTCTGATCTGTGTTGTTGAACTCCAGGTCCTGGTTGAACTCCTCGTCCGCATATATGTCAATCACGTCCACTCCTTCTGGCATGGCTCCAGAGGGAAGATGTCGAGCCCAGAGAAGGGGAGAGGTTAAGAAGAATGTCACGAGAATACGGGCAGCAAGTCCTGACCAGGCCCGAAGCGCGCAAACCGCTCCCCAAGCACAGCCATTCTTACAATTTTTAGTATTGTCCCACATTTCACTCGGACTGCAGCCTTCAGTATGGACTGAGGCTCAATGTCAAGAAGACAAAGATTCTCACCACTGGACCAATTGGCAGCGTCAGGATGGATGGCGAAGAGATTGAGATTGTTCACAGCTTCAGTTTGCTCGGCTCCACAGTCAACACTATTGGCACCAGCAGTCAGGAAATCAAAAAGCGTATCGCGATGGGAAAGTCTGCTGTTAGAGACCTCTCTAAAGTACTCAAGAGCAACGGTGTCTCTCTGGAGACTAAGGTGCACCTGAATCAGGCCATGGTCTTTGCAATCGCTTGCAAAGACATCATAGAGTTGGACAATGACTAGGGAGGACAGAAGGAGAGTTGATGCTTTTGAGCTGTGGTGCTGGAGAAGAGTACTGAATGTACCATGGACTGCCAGGAAAACAAACAGATTCATCTTGGAGAGGATTAAACCAAGCTACTCCTTGGAGGCAAGGATTCTGGGGCTTCGTCTGACATACTTTGGACATGTTGCCAGGAGGGACGGGTCCTTGGAGAGGGACATCATGCTTGGGAGGGTGGAGGGACAGCGCAGGAGGGGAAGACCCTCTGAGATGGATTGATTTGGTGACTGGGGTAATCGGGATGGGTCTTTCAGAGGAGGTGCAGTTGGCGCAGGATAGAGCAGGGTTTAGGGCTGTTGTACATAGGGTCACTATGAGTCGCAAACGACTCGATGGCACATAACAACAACAACAACATATCCACATCACAGTGATCGAGTTCACGCACCATCTAGTTCTTCTGGTCTCAGGACCATTGAGGTTGAAATTCACGTGGTCCTTTCATCCTAACAGCTACAGTCTTTATGGAATCGGGTAGCTCTGCTTCCACAGTGCTGCTGGAGAGGGACAAACTGCCAAGCTTTCATTCAGTACCTATTGCGCGCTGTGCCGCCCTGGGACCTTATGTATTTTGCAGACATTTGCAGATTCAGTGATGGTAGTGATAAGAGTCTGGGGGAGGTATCCTTGGGGAGATCCTTTAATATTCAAATAGATTTGAAAATAGTAATTTGCGCCCAGAAACCTTTATACCTTCACTTGACTCAAGGTATGTCCATCATTTCTGCACTCCGAGGAACATGCTTTGTACCCATGCCAGGGCCTCGGTAAGGGATGCTTTGAAAACGGTGTGGGTGTGGAATCTGCTTTGGGCAGCAGCAGACAGCTTCAAGAAGATAGTGCCCTCCACCTGGGCTGCTTGAGAAATCTAGACTAGGTGCCCACACAGCAGATTAGAAACTGAATTTCACAAAGCAGGAGTGGGAAGCATGTTGTTGTGTGCCTGTCTCTCTTTCAGGGCAGACCCACACTCCCCCATTCTGGGACTCCTAGAGGGACTGTCAATCACAGGGCACATCAACACTCACCTTGAAAACAATGTTGGCTGAGATCTCTGCCCTTGACATTCCCAGCTGTGTGAGCCAGTATATCTTCTTTTTGCTTAAGGCAGTTGAAGTTGGCATGCTGTCTCTTCAACCAATAACACCAGGCTAATAAGTGACTATGAAATATACTTCAAGCCCAAGAGCTAAGCCAGTGGCTCCAGTGGCACAATCAGCGAGCAGTGCTTACAGGGCTGTGTAAGTTAGAGAACTTCCCAGAGGCCAGACCAGGTACCTGCAGGAGAGGCAGGAGGATCCTTTGCTGGGTTTGACCAGGACAGCTTCAGCAGCAAGTCCCTTCCAAAAAGGGAAGCAAGGCTCTGAGCACTCTGAGGGCTCATCTCTCTCTCTTTCTTTCCTATTTACCTCTTTTCTCTTTCCTCCCTCTCTTAGTTTTCACACACAAACATGTACAAACATACACACAGAATTTAAAAATCCCTGGTTTACCTACATCACTCAGTGTTGACAACATATGATCTGTAATCCTGAACATCCACTCTCATGAGTAATGCTGTTCAGACCCAGGGAAATGCTTCTCTGCATGTTTCATGGTGTGTCCTTGCATCAAAAGAAGACAGTAATAAAAATAAATAAATAAAACCTAAGTCCAATCATAAACCAAAAAAAGGAGACAGCGTTTCTATGTGTGCGGAGATTAGTGAACTGAGCTGCCGCTGACATCACAGGTGGCCCCTGCTTTGGAGGGTAGGGAGGACTGAATGGTGGAAGCACTAAGAGAAAAGGCAAAGTAATTTGTTGTACCTTCTCAGATAGCTAGAATGCAATGTTGTTTGCCACCCAGCCCATTCTAACTCATAGTAATTGTATCTGACACTGTAGACCTGTCCTGTTAGCCGTCACAGGAGTAGAATTCCAGATCTTTAAGAATGCAAAAGAAAAAGAAAAAAAAGAATGCAAAAGAACAAACAACAGATGCTGGTGAGGTTGTGGAGAAACTGGAGCCCTTGTGGAGAAACTGGAGCCCTTATTCACTGTTGGTAGAAGTGTAAAATGGTACAGCCACTATGGAAGACTGTATGGTGCTTTCTCAAAAAGTTGCAAATATAAATACCAGTTGACCCAGCAATTCCACTACTGGGAATATACCCCAAAGAAATCATAACCACCACCCAAGCAGATACATGCACACCCATGTTTATCACGGCTTTGTTCACAATAGTAAAGAGTTGGAAACAACCTACGTGCCCATCAACAAACAAATGGATAGAGAAGCTGTGGTATATTCATACAGTGGAATACTATGCTGTATTGAAAAACAAGGAACTCATGTATTATCATTATTATTCAATATTATTCAAAATGGGTGACCCTGGAGGACATTATGCTGAGTGAAATATCTCAGTCACAAAAAAACAAATACTGCATAGTGCCACCGTCGTAAATTGGGACTGACATCGGAGTTGGGGGGAGACTAAGAAAGATGGGATAAATGATGTATACTGCATTGAAACAGATGAGGGAGAGAACTGGAGTCCAGAATGAAGACTGCATAGTGGAGTGGACTTGAGGGGAGGGATTATATAACAATGAAAGAATTTTTCTTTTACTCTTCAAAACGAAGGCTGAGTAGTGTAGTGGACTGAGTGTATAACAATTAAAGAATTTTACTTTTCAAAGAGAAGAGCGAACTGCGGTGGGGGGAGGTTGGACAGGGAGGAAAGTGCAACAATGAATAAATGGAAATCCAAAGTCTCTATAAACTTTTTTATTAAAATTGGTAACAATTTTAAAAGGGAGGAAGACTGCAAAAGAAGTAGCATAACCTTACAAAGGCAAGAATGCATTTTTCTTGCTTCTTTTTGTGTCTCGACACACAAATTACACAGTATCTGCTTTGATTGCACATGGCAGCTGATGAGCATTTTCTAGTATAAATAGCTCATGTTGTTGTTAGCTGCAGGGAGTCAACTATGACCCTATGAACAACAGGTCTGAACCTTATCCTACCCCGTGCCATTCCCACCCTCTCTGATATGCTCGAGTCCATTGTTATATTCATGTGTCAATCCATCTTGTTGAGACTGACGCTTCCTCTCCTGCTCCACCTGTCCAGCATGGTGTCTTTTCCAAGGATTGGTTCCCCCTGACAATACACTCAAAGTATGACTGACAAAGTTTCACCATCCTTGCTTCTAAGGAGCACTCTGGTTGCATTTCCTCAAAACTGACTTGCTTGTCCTTTTGGTCATCCATGGGATATTCACTACTCTTCTCCAGCACCACAACTCAAAGGCATCAGTTCTTCTTCTGTCATCCTTTCTCATTTTCCAACTTTCATATGCATAAAAAATAATTGAAAATAAACTGACCTCCTTGTTCTTTAGCACTTAGGAAAGGTACCTGACAGCAGATTTTCTCCATGCTATTTTTATTTTTTATTGCATGGATGTTGATTGTGGGTCCAAGCAAAATGAAATCATTGACAGTGTCAGTATTTTCTCTAGCATCTCATTTCCTATTGGCCTAATGGTGAAGATTCTTGTTTGTTGAGGTTCAGATGTGATCTATACGGCTGTAGTATTTGATCTTCTGCAGCAAGAATTTCAAGTCCTTTTTGCTTTCCACAAGCAAGATTGTATAATGCTGGCTGATGAGTCTTCGTCCAGTCCTGATGCAACATTCTTCTTCATATAGTCCAGCTTCTCAGATTATTTGCTCAGAATGTAGATTGAATAGATATAGAGAAAAGATAAAACTTGACACCTATCTTTCCTGATTTGAAACCATGCAGTGTTCCCTTGTTTTGTTCAGACAACAGTGTCTTACATGTATGGGTTTCTTGTTATTGTCATTGTTGTTGCTGTTGTTATTGTGTGCTGTCAAGTCAGACCCAGATCTGACTGGCACAAGAGGAGACTGCCCATCCTTCTCCAGCAGAGCATCTGGTGGATTCCCCTAGGTATTAATTTTTAATTACTCTGGAGAATCGTTTATTACCAAAGGGTTACCAAGGACATAGTATCATAACAACTCTCACTGTGAAAATAGCATTCTTTATAGGAATAGATTCTATATAGGACTACATTATTATGAAAATAATTCTGTATAGGATCAAGAATACAGAACTTATTAAATTTCCTTTTGAAAAGGCAGAGAGATCCAAGGAACAAAAAGGAGATGACTTGAAGATTTTCTTTACCATCTAACTTGATAATCCAGTCTCTGGCTCTCCCAAGCACCTGAAAGAAGGGTGGAGAGAGTGGGCATGCAAGAGGGTGAGAGGAGCTCTTAACTGGAGGCCCCATTTTTGTTCTAAGGTAACTCAGGATCCAGGGAAGAAGAACCTCGCTGAGGCTGTGATGACAATATGCCCCTGTTTCAGGGGAGAGGAGGCTTGAGGGAGGGCTAATCCATGGGCAACAGGGGACTCTCACGAGCTGGGGGACTGTTTTTGGCATCCAAGTCCTCACGTTTTTCGGCCAGGTTTGGTATCTCATAGTTCTGAGCTGGAAACATTCTAACAATGTTTCCAAAAATAAATCCAGGCAGGAACTGGAGCATGATGTCAGAGGGGACAAGAGCAGCCGCAGGTTTCTTATGAACACAAATAGGCTATCTGGGATTCTCATTCTTCTCAGCGGTACCCACAATTTGTCATAATCCACATGATAGTCAAACACCTTTGTATAGTCAATAAAACACAAATAAACATCTTTCTGGTATTCTCTACTTTCCGCCAAGATCCAGCATGATATTCCTCATGCCACCACCTGTTCTACATTCAGCTCCAATGACTCAGAATTTCCTGTAACATGAATAGAGTGTGATGCTGATTCTTTATGTTGACTACAAGATGGTACTTTATATTGGGATTGTGAATAATTTTGTTGTATGGTGATTTTAATTGAATTTTAGAAACAAATAAAAATTTCTCTTTTCAAAATACTTTGTTTAAAATTTAATTAAAATACACACTTAGAACTCACAACTAAGTTAGTTATATTTGCCTTTTATTTTTTATGTAGTTTTTATATCTTCAAGAAAAAAGAAATTTTGGTGTTGTTGCTAGTTACTTTAGACCATGGAGCTTTCTGTGGTATATCTGTAAGAAGGACATCTCTGAGTTTCTCCTGCAGTGCTGGTCTTGTT